CACATGATAAGCCTCATATGTACATATGTGGAACAGCTTTGCCAGCCACCCCCCCCACCCTACCCAGGCCACCCCCTCCAATGGTCATGGGTCAGACAAGAACATGGATCAGACAAGAAACCCCCTCGCCGCGTGTTGCTGCAGGTGGGTTGTGATGGTTTGGGTAGGAGTTTCGCTGGTTTACATTGGTTGAGGGCCGCTTTAGGGTTGGTTCAAGCAGGGTTTGACCATACATAAATACAGCTATATCTGACATTCTGCTTGTTGGTACCCAACGTGAAAAGGGAACAATATATGGGCTTGTCTCACAATAGGGTTGCCTCGAAATGAGTTGTCGTCCTCTTGTCCCCCGTTAAAATTGGCCGAAAATGGGTACCATGAAAACAAGACGCACCCATCTGGCTGGAGCAAATCTTCAGGGGCACATGACTCTTTCCTTTACTTGACTCTTTGGGCCCTCCAGCTCAGACTAGCCAATGCACTCCGAGCCCGCTTGGGCCGTTTCCTGGTGTCATATGCATGTCATATTTTGTACGACTGAGCCACTGACGAAAGCAACATGGATATGCAACATATGCATATATACATAGATGTTAACATTATGCATGTCTATGTGCATATAAATATGCAACAACGTATCTATGCATGCATGTGTATGTGTATATATAAATATATGTGATTACGTGTGCGTGCGTGTATGTATGCAGTGTAATGTAATGCAATGTAGCGTAAGGCTACGCAAGGTAAGATAAGGTAATGTCCGTCTGTCTGTCTGTCCGTCCGTCCGTCCGTCTGTCTGTCTCTGTCTGTCTCCGCCTGTCTCTGTCTGTCTCTGTCTGTCTCTGCCTGTCTCTGTCTGTATGTATCTAGGTGGTAGGCAGGCATGCATGCACGCATGGTTGAAGCAACTACCATTTCAACACACTGGACAAAGCCTACACTTTCAAGAGCTCCGTGCAAGTGACCGCTCGAGTTGTCAGATTCAAGGAGCCCCAAGCAGACTCAAAGGAACTTGGCGATGCGAAATTTGGCCAAGCGAGGGGTTGAGACTTTGAGACTTCCACGGTTTGCGAAGATCCGTTTGTCATATGGCCATGAATTTTTATAAGGAACCACCTCCAAAGTAGTTGGTAACATAAATATACCAACCTAAATGATGTCCACCACAGGGTCCCTTACGAAAATTCACACCCATACTACAGTTGCGATAATGCCATTGCCAAAGCATGCACCTGCACTATTGACACAGCGGTGCCCTATCTTCTGCCATGGCACCCGCCGGTCGAACTCGTAGCTGCGCTTCTGGAACACGCCTTGTACGCGGTTAAACCTGGGGATTGGGAAGCTCCTGCCGCATATAGATCGGAACAACATCCAACTTCCATCGCTGGAAAGTGAAGCCCAGTAGCCTCACTATAGTGCTGTTGCCCAACACTTCTGCGACGATCGCGGATAGACTTGCATTCCTCTCTCTGCCATCACACTGTGCCAAAAAACGGCAAAAAGCAAACGGCAACCATGGCTGCTTCAAGTCCCATGTTGTTTCATGTCTTGTTCTCGCTCGGAAAAACAAAAGCTTGAGCAGTCGACTCAGGGGAAAGAAAGCCCATGCGCTCGCATTTCGCAGGATCTGCGGACCCACATCCTGGGGAAGCTTCTGCACTCATGCTTCTCATGCTTCTCATGCTTCTCATGCTTCTCATGCTTCTCATGCCTGACAATTTGGAAGGCAGGTCCTCCCACCACAATTTCCCGATACGCGATGGACCCCTCTGTTCAATGCACCAATTCTTGTCTCAACAGTCGAGGATGCCCCCCTCCTTCCTCCCCCGACAAAAACATTTGCCAGATATGCCCCTCCGCCGCCACTTGCCCAGCAAGTGGACCATGCCAGTGATTCTCAAAAAACTCATGGCGAATCCCCGAGAAAGTTCTGAGACCAAGCCGCTCTTCTGAGAGGTTCTTGGGCTTCATCTTCAACTCAGACAGCACCTCTGGCAGAAAATCTCGGAGCCCTTGGAGGCCAAAAGTAGTGTAGATCTTCGGTACAAGCATCAGTGACAGAAACTCAGTTGCCCGAAAAGCCTGGAAATCAAAGGTGACCACCTTTTGGGACCTTTACTGAAAGTGACCAAAAAGGGAAAACTAAAACGTTGAAAGGTTGGTTTTGAAGAACTGAGCACAAGTGTATCAGCGAATCTGTGCCTGCCTGGCGCGTGTGTGCCCGTGCCTGTTTGCCACACAAGAACCCATGAGAAAGCATCTGTGCCAAGGATCAAATCTCTGAATCTCCAGCGACTGGCCCTGTGGAGTAGAGATTTATTTCTTCCAGAAAGACCCCTGATTAATTCTAATGGGGGCATCATATGAATTATGCTGGCTTAGAAAGCAATACAATGTCTTATTTTGCAAGTGCTTACATTCTCAAAAACTTTGCCAACTGATACAAAACCTTCAATTGTGCTTTGTACATATCTCTCCAATCCATCTTTGTCTCGCCCAAGAATTACCTCTGCCTTTTTCTCTCTCTTCTCTTCTTGTTAATGTTACAATAGGTGTGTCAACAAGAACAATTCTAGTGTTGCAGTGGATCTAGGATTACATGATATGACGCTCTAGCACTTGTTCATGTTGTTCTTTCTTAAGAACTATATTTACTATCTTCTCTGGACCAACATTCGATGGAGAAAGGACCTTGGTACTGAGCTGCTTTTACTTTCATCCTCATGTACACTCTTGCTCTCTCTCTCTCTCTCCCTCTCTCCCTCTCTCTATGTTCATCATTGTAACTTAACAATGTATTGCTGTTCTTCTTACCTTTTCCCCAATGCATTTCGTAGGACTTAATTGTGTGCCCGCCATTCCAGATTCTGTTCATTCCTGGAATCGCCCGCCGGGGTTCAATCGAAATCTGACTCGCCTGAGCCACATCCGGACATCCAGGGCCCCGGCCCCCTGGAGGCAACGCTGAAACTCCTCCTCCTCGAGGCCCTCCTGGCGACGCCGTGGCTAGGGTGCAAGCTCAGAGAGGTCAACAAGATGTTGAGTTGCCCTTTTCAGCTCTTCCCATTATTCTACGGACTCGCCAGATTGAACCTTCCAATCATCACTTCGCCCAGTGTCCAGCTTTCTTTTGGAGCCAAAGTTTTCGGGGTTCAAACAGTGGTTCAAACATTAGCTTCAAACATTGCTTCAAACTTTTGTTTCAAGCATTGGTTCAAACATTTCTTCTAACATGTCTCCAAGCATTGGGTTCAAACATGCCATGACTCTCATGGCATTTTCCTCTCCGCTGGCAGACCTCTCCAAAGCTGCTCCCAGGCTTCCGCTCCTCGAGCCAGGCAAAGTTCTCCGCGAAGAAGGCGTCCATGCGGGAGCGCGCATAGTCAGGGGGGAACTCTGTCTGGACCTGCGCCACGAACCGAAGAAAGCGCGCCACGAACTGGGGGAGTGGCGTTTTTTTTTCCGTGTTGGATACGTGTTCAGAAGCTCATTCACGGTTTTGGACGTGTTCAAACTATCCGAATCGGAAAACTTGGAGCGGCACGGGAAGATTGCCTAAATCCCTCACTAGGCTGGCCCCGACAGGTGCTCGTTTGGTGACTGCATGACCTGTTCAACTTGCAAGTCCAAACAACCACAAGTTGAATTAAACAGATTCCACCCGACAGCTGGGAGCGTGCGAGCCTGCAATGGCAACCTTACCTTTCACACGAGACAGCATGCCGCTTGCCCCACTTCCCCAGGGCTGGCCTACGAAAGGGAACCAAGGGATTGAGCAGAAGCCAACTGCACATCTGAGACGGAAAAAAAAAAACGGCGCCTCGTTTCAAGGGGCGAGCTTAAGAAGGTAACCCAATCCCGCCTGCGCTACCAGGTAGGTAAAGTGGTTGGAGGGGCTCGCCCCCATGCCTCAAACTGCTTCAAGGCCGAACCATAGGCCCTACAACAGGCCACGCTGCCAGTCTGTGCCTGTGAACATTGCACTGAATACCATTATTTGCCCAGTGGGCGAACCCATCTATCAAGATGCCCCTATGGATCTTCACAGCTCTGCTGCGGCTCAGGCGACTCAGCTCAGCATTTTTGAGCCATGCCGCCTTCTACGTTCACGTTTCCCTCTGCTCCGGTAGTAAAGGACAATGTTGCATGCTGCTTGTCATCCAAAAAGTAGGGACCCTGCTAAATGGCAGTTTCCTTTTGGCTTCCTTTTGAAAATAACTCTGAAGGGGTCCCTGGTTTTAACACGTACCCATCCAAGTGTCCGCAAATGCCTCGACAAGAAACGATGCCTCCACCACGTCATTGCGACTCTTTGCCTCGATGCCTCCCGCAGCCCCATGACTTGCCCGAGCCCAGCTCAAACTAACCCTAAAAATCCGAAACCCATCTTCCTAAGCCATCCGAAGCAACTCCTAAACCGACCCCCAAACCCCCGAAGAACGCTGCAAAACAATACCTCAACCAAAGCGCGCCTAAGGCAGAACACAACATCGGGGGATGACTTGCAAGCACCCCCGTATGCGAATTGTTTATCCTTGCCTCTGCTTTCGAATATATATATATATATACACATACATATATATATATATATATGGGTCAGGGCTCGTGGCCCCCCCCAACCCAATAGTCATGGTACCCCCCAACCCCCCAGTGGGTGTGGTGCCCCCGCCCCCTTGTGGTTATGGTTCCCCCTCCCCCCCTCTAATTATGGTTCCCCCCCTCCCCCTCTGTGGTGTGGGGTGTTGGTTTGGAGGCCAAGTCAGGCTTCGTTGAGGGTTGACTGCTGTTGGTTTGGGATGATTCAATTTGGATTTAAGGATGCTTTGGGGTATCTCAAGCTTGCCTTTGAGTTTGGGGCTTGTAGCTCAGGATTTTAGGACATAGCTTAAACTGATTATTAGTTTTTTCTTAGGATAGCCGGGGGCTGATTTACAGTGGGTTTAGGGATCCTTTGGGGCTTTGCTGGGTTGAGCATGTATGTTTTTTCTGAGTTAATTATCTTAGGCTTCATGTCAATTAGATTTAGGGCTAGCTTAAGGTTGTCCTGCGGTTCAAGTCAAGCTGGATTGGGGATGGTGCATGACTTTTAGGGTAGGGATGGTTGTTGACAGGACAAAGCCACGCTGGAGTTTGGAACGAGCCCGTGGGGGGGCAGGAGAGGGCAGGCCGGGGAGGGGGGGGGGCCTGGGCGGACCATACCATCGGGAATGGGGGGGCTGGGAACCCTGGACACTGACCCATATGTATATATATATATGCTATCCCCCCCCCAAAGATCGACCATTTTCTGTGTTTTGAGAAAGATGCGGTGTGTACTCCTCGATCTCCCGCTTGATGGCAACTCGAGAGGACTCTGCCTTGTCCATCTGCTCCAAGCATGTCTCTTCATCCGCAGGACCACGGAAGAGCCGCCGCACCTGCTGCCTTTGCTTGAACTTGGGGTCCCGCTTCTCGCTCAGCTTCTTATGCGCCAGATCGAGCCACGCCTGTTCCTTGCGAACCTCCTCCTCGAAATTGGGTGGAAGCTCCTTGCGGTGCTCCTTGAACTTGCCGTACCACTTGCCGCCCTCCTCTGTCCAGTAGTCTGCTGACTCTGCAAACCTGCGAGGTACCTTATCATCGTTGACCCCTGCCTTGCGGAAGTACACGAACCGCTTCGTGTTGACGATGAAGACAGCACGCTTGAACAGGGCATCGAAATCCGCGCTGGTGGCTTCCCTGGTGATCGCGGGGCGGATCATCTTCTTGAAGTCCTCAAACTTGAACAAGGTGGTGAAGTCGTCGCCCTCTTGGATGTCACAGTCGTAGCTGTTTGCTGCCAAAGCTCTGGGTTGGTTTTGCACCCATTTGACAGCACCCCACCTGGCCCACGACATTGGCTCGTACAAGCCCCATCGAGCAAGGACTTCAGAGCTTTGATGCTCAAGTCCGATGTGGATGGGTCATCCAGGAAATCGCCCATGGTGACCGTGCCCTGCTCACCACGAAAGAAATCGATTTCTGGGGAACACCTGATGCATGGCCGTTGGTCACCTTCGAAGCTCTGAGCATTGCGGCGGCATTGCGCCATAAGTACGCTGCGCCCAAGGGGGCTCTTGCCAGCGCCGGGCTCACCCAAAAGAACTAAGGCGGAGTGGTCGAAGCCCCACACATTCTCCAGGATGTCCAACACCCAGCGCTTGAAGAAGGTGCTGGTCAAGGGAAGAGGCCAATCAAACTCCTTCCTCGCCAGTGCTCCATCAGAAGCCAAGGGTCGAAGAGCTTTCTCGACGACACCAGCAGGCCGCTTTTAAATTGGCGACTCCTTGCGGCGAAGCTCCTTGGTCTGCCAGCGAAGCCGTCGAAGATCTGATCCGCTCCGAGGCCCATGC